ATATATATACTAGATTTGGTGACGCCGTGCACGCACGGCGGTCTAACACCCCGCGTAAAAATACAACAAAAAGTTGTCCTAAGTTGTTGCAGCTTTTATTATAGGCGTATGTTGGATTTGTTCATATGTATTTTTTATTTAATGGAAATGTTTTAGGATTTTGTTCTCTTGACTTTCGCAAGTGGTTTATGAGGTGTGTGGTTGTTTAAATCCGCGTACAGTTTAAAAAAGTCGAAGAAAATAAGGATAAATAGGAGCAAGAACAAAAAATGTAAGCAACGTCTACGGAAAGACTTGTTTTCGAACACGGCAACATTATTTGATGTGGATAACATATATTTATTGCCCCATCGTGTTTTGAAGAAAAATCGTACACGTTTAAAAAAGTCGAGGGAAATAAGTGTAAATACGGGCACGAACGAAAATGTAAGCATCGTCTTCGCAAAGACTTGGTTTGGAACACGGCACCATGATTTGATGTAGATAACATATATTTATTGCCCCGTCGTGTTTTGAAGCAAAATCGTACACGTTTTAAAAAGTCGAGGAAAATAAGGGTAAATAGGGGCAAGAATGAAAAATGTAACCAACGTCTCTAGAGAGACTTGCTTTCGAACACGACACCATTATTTGATGTGGATAACATATATTTATAGCTCCATCGTGTTTTGAAGCAAAACACGACACCGTTATTTGATGTGGATAACATATATTTATCGCCCCATCGTGTTTTGAAGGAAAATTGTACATGTTTAAAAAAGGCGAGAAAATAAGGGTAAATAGGGGTAAGAATGAAAAATGTAAACAGCGTATCCGAAAATACTTGTTTTCGAACACGACACCATCATTTGATGTGAATAACATATATTTATCGGCTCATCGTGTTTTGAAGCAAAATTGTACACGTCTAAAAAAGGCGAGGAAAATAAGGGTAAATAGGGGCAAGAACGAAAAATGTAAGCCACATCTCTGGAATAAACGTTCTATGTCTTTCGTGTATTGTTTGTTTATGCTTTTATGTTGAAAATTGAATTTTACAATTGGAAATGAATTTACATTGTTCCTTGATCATTGTTCCGTGTAGATTTGCACATCTTTTTAAGTGTTGTGTTATTCTACTGTAAATGTTTAATTGAGGTGTCGTTTGGTTTACATAATAATTGTGAACGTACCTAACATCTCCAAAGTTTATATTGACTTAAATTGGCCTAAAATGAGTAAGGCACAACTTCAACCCTTATTTATAGCAAGGATCGTTTAGGGCCAAGTATTATGATTTTGTAGTTGTTTGAATGATGAGTTACAAACCAATCTGTAGTTTGTGTTTACTGTTACATATGGTTGAAACTGTTATGCGTAATTTATTTATAATTTCCCAACAAAATTACACACTATTATTCTCCTTTTCATGTCCAGTGTTATAGTAATGAAATATATTTCATTGTCTGTGCCTGAAAGTCCCCAAAAAAAGTTCTATTTTGTGTTTGTAGGCAAATTACTTGCATTTGGTATTTAAAACTTAAAGTTTTGCAGAAGTTTTTTTTTTTGTTTGTGTGGGCAACATTTTATTTTCATTCTCTACAACTATGTTAATAATTATAATATCCACAATTTGGGTACACCAACACCAATTGTTGCATAAAATAAACACAGAATAAGTATGAGAAAAAATGTGCAAACATTAGTTACCATTGCAACAAAAGAGGACATATCCAGCTACATAATCAAAACAGTACCCAGTTTCCAAAACAAAGTAGCACTTAAGTTTGACACCTTGGTTATCTACTTGGCTAAGAAGGTATGCTTCATTTCAGAACCGTTTAGGCGTCCCAGTATGAAGATGCTTAATGGATTCTATAAGAACTACAACGATGGCCACAGAAGGTGATGACAGAAGGCGCACTATTATAGTGGTCAACTAAGTACCAAGCATTACACAAAATAGATCACAAAAGGTTATAACGAAACTGGTAAATAATGAGAGACTTCGAAAGACGAAATTACTAAAGCTTGGCACCCGTGTAACTGGTCACTTGCTAATGCGTGCTTTCTTCGGTTTGTCGTTGATAATTGATTGCTCGGCAACAATTTTCTTTGTAGGATATGTTCCACTACACTCAGCGCCGTGGAAATCATCCACATTGCCGATGGTATTTTTTCCGTTCTTGAAGTTTCTACTCAGCGGGTTAGATGCAAGAGCATCATCTTTGCCCATTGTTTCTCCAGCCACCGCCTGAATACATGCTTTTGGATTCGCTGTTTGCATTTCACTCTCTTCACCAGGCTATATTTTTTTTAAAAAAAAAAGAAAACAAAATTGTTATCTTGCTGATAAATTTATTCTTTATGTAACTACTCCTAAATCATTTCCAGTGTACGAAGGTACTTTCATGGCATTTGCGTATAAAGTTTCCTTCTTTTAGGTTGACATTGCAGAAGAACATTTGCGGAACTAATGTCGAGTTGCTCCCTGATCGAACACTTGGCATTGAACATTATGTTATCATTATCATCTAATTGTTGTGAAACGACATGTATGAAATGGCAAGTGTTCGATCAAGGGGCAAGTCGAAATTTCCGCGTGAATTGACTTTTGTCTTCAGAAACATCCGTTGCATTTCAACTCTGTTGGCCTCTAAAACGACAATGTTATCAGCTGCACGGAGACAAAAAATAAAGAGCATACATAATCCCACAAAAAATAAAGAGCATACTACCCAACAACTCTGGGAACAGAAACAAATGGCAAGTGGATATTTGGGTCTTTGAAATCATAGTAGATAGAGCAAGAAAACAACAAAGAAATAAACATTATAGAATATTAACAACACACACAAAAAAGAAAGCAAAACATAGAGCATACACACTCATGTTCTACTGGTGATGTTAGTGATGTGAGATTTAAGCTAAGCAATTGATGATTCATTCAGCTATATATAGAGTCACTATATACTATGTTTTAAGCTTCAAATGAAGACTTTTTACAAGTGTTCTAAAACTTACAAGACACACAAGTCCTTCTGAAAATTAAACTCGCCGAAGCAGGGGCCAATATTGTGAGATCAGAGGTTCAATTTGTAGGAAACTAAATGTACAGGGTTAGCTAAAGGCCCTGGACTCAGTACTAAATATAAAATGAGGACCCATATCTGTATAGGCTAAAGACATTAGAAGAACAACAAAAAAATTTACACAACTCGATGAACGAATGTCTATCTTCAATAAATGAGTTATACATGTAAATAATGAAAAAGTAAAAAACAAAATTTGGCCAAGGTTTTGCGTCTAGAATAAATATTTTACAAAAAGCCGTTGTAAATTTTGTGTTAATATAGGCACAAAAAAAACGAAAATAATTTATACAAAACAACATCAAAAGGGTTATAGAGAACACTCTCCAATAAATATCATCCAAAAAAATAAAATTAGATGTGTGGAAGAAACCTATCTAAAATCAAGCACATGCACAAAGTAGTAGGGCTGTTGATTTTCACAATACATAATGAGTTCAAATAGAGAACAACAACATTTGATGATTTAGGGTTTAAGAGGATAGAAATCGAACACAGAGCAGCCCAAAAAAAATTGATAAAGGCATAGAGAGAGAGAGAGAGAGAACAGAACACGTCTGAGTAAATCCGCTGGTCTTCTTGGCGATCTAACTCCTCGGTGCGGCTGATTGTTGAAAGCCTGCAATTATCTTTCGTGTATAAAACGGCAATGATAATAGCAGGTATTTTTTTTTTAATCGTATGAATTGTTGCGTGTGTGGGAGATAGTGCGAGGAAGAATATAAAACTGTTGTGTACCCGAAAGTAAGCTGACAGAGGGTGACTTAACCGTGGTATGTGTAAAGTAGAGTATAGAGTTGTAATAGTTTAATAAAAATAGGTGACCTAATTGAATGACCTTTTTATTCACAGAGGCTACAAGTTTTGGGGCCCTTTGCCTTTTCCTTTCTGGTGGCAGTTTTTTTGACCATTCATATCTAAAGTGTGCCATGAAAGCTGGATTCCCGGCCATTGTTTTGTTCCTTTTACCGAAAAAAATAAAAATAATAAAAAATAAATAAATTGTACATTATTGTTTGCTCTTGATTCTATAAATGTTGTCTTTTAAAGGTGCACTCAACATCCAAAAACCAGTAGAAAAAAAAACTCTTAGAGAATAAGAAAAGCAAAAGAAAAAAATAATTACGCTTAAATGGAAGCTCCTTTGTGCTGTTGTGGGCGCGGTCGTATGAAGCTTTTAATGGCGAGAACTGAAAAAAACTATGGAAAGTATTTTTACGGCTGTCCAGTTCGCGAGCAACACAACGGTTGTTTCATTTGGGCGAACGATGTTCATCGTCAATATTCTTCACAAGGAAGTAAAAGTACATTCCGGAGTGGCTGCACCAATTCATCACAAACAACTGCAGATAGTGTGCATGCAAGTAAGTATTCTGAAACCGCTCACAGACGGAGCCAACCATTGACGAACATTTCCACAAATACTGATTCGGAGTTAATGTTGACCGCGTGCTCGATATGCTGTTTATTTATTTATTTATTTTTTGTTGGCCTTTTATGTTGTGTAGCCATTGTCAAGATTTTACGCCTATAATTTATGAATTTATTCGAATATTATTTATAATATTATGTAATTTAGTATATCTATTTTTTTTTTGAACGCCTGCAGTTCTCTGTTTACTTTTGTGTTTAGTAGTGTCGTCTTGTATTGTTTATGAGTATTATGAAATGATACTATGTTTTGTTGTAACATTTTGCATTTGAAATTTTTTTTTCCCACGAGTTTAGTTGGGGTTGTGTGTGTGAGGGTGTGATCCACTCTTGTTAGTGAGCATATTAATTTCCTTCACTTTTGTTGCTGGCGTGAAATTTCCACCGAGACTTGTTTACTTCATTCTTCTACTTATTGTGCAATTTTAAATAAGTATTTGCGTACACTGTGTTTCGCCATAGAGGAAATTTCAAATTGTAGCCTATTTACAAGATTCACAATTTTTAACAAATTATAAAATTAAATGAGTCTTGAGAGCAGCATTCATGTACTCGAAAAATGAATTGTTGTAAGAGTAAGTAATATAAAAATATAAATAAAACAAAATAACCCACTGTTATAAGGAGTAGGTAGAATTTGAACAAAAGCGGCCATAAACGGCTACACAGTGTAAACAACATGCATTGACTACAGAAAACAAAATATCGCTTAACTACCCGTCTAAGCAAGGTTTGTTCATTCAGTTTTTTTCCATCGCCAAAACATGTAGATGCTTAATCAATTCTAGAACAATGACATCTACGAATATAAAAGGTCATGACAGAAGGTGGCCGACGAATGAAGTGAACTAAGCAGGGCTTGTGAAACAAAACAGATAACTGAAGTTTACGCAGAATCTTACATCTTGCCATAGCAGTAGATCAAAGAGATTAGTAAAGTTCACCGCTGAATGGGTGACTAATCATTTGGTACTGCGCGCCTTCTTCTTTGCCAAGCTGTTGATGGTTGTTTGTTTGCTCAATTTTTTTTTTCTGCAGGTATGATCCACTGCATTCATCAGCACACGAACTTTCCCCATCGCTGACGGCATTCTTATTAGTCTTCAATTTGAGTGCACGCCTAGTTTCTGGCTT